ATACCTGGGCCCCATCTGTCTCTGTCTGCTCCCAGCCGGCTGCCTCAGCTGCCCTGTACGCTCAGCTGGTGCACGGCCAGAAGGGGGTGGAGGCCCTGGGGAAGTTGCTGGCCCACATAGAGCAGAACTTGTCCAGGAGAGGCACTGCCTACCTCACTGGGGTGAGTGGGACCTCAGGGTGGGGTGAGCCATGCTCTCTGGGGGAGACTGCTGGGGAGGGGCTGGGCCCTTCTCCGTGGAGCCCTGAGCCTGGGTTGGGGCCACCTCAAGGCCTGACTCTGCTTGTCTGGCCCAGGTCACCAAGTCAGTGGCTGATGTGGTTGTGTGGGGTACCTTGTTCCCTGTCGTCCAGGATGAGACCACCCTGCCAAGTAAGAGTGAAATAGGGGTACCGAGGGGGGAGCATTATTTGTGTTCCTGTGGCTGTAAGAATCATGCTGTTTTCTCACCCTCCAAGGTGAGCTGCAGGCACTGAGAACCTGGTTCCAGAACATGACACTCTCAAAGGCCTGCAGGAAAGCTGCTGACTCCGTTCTGGTGCCCAAAGCCCTGCTGGAGTTCAAGTCCTACCTGCAGAAGCAGCCTCCACCCTGCCTGGCCAGGGAGAGAGTCACCAGTAATGAGCCTGAGGTGCAGCCCTTGCCCCCTGCTCAACCCTGGCCCAGGGATGGGTCCCTGTGGGGCTGCTCACGACAGGCATGCAGACCCTTACTGGGACCAGGCTTTCCCACAGGAAGAAGAAGGTTTTGAGTGTGCCCTGACGGAGGAGGATATCACAGCCGCTGCGGATGCCTGGGCCCGCGGTGCTGCAGCACTGCCCAAGCCCTGGCAGCCTCAAAAACCTGTGTGAGTCCCAAGATGACACTAGGGCCAGCTGTCCCAGGCCTCCAAGGAGCCTGGCAGGGGCTCCCCGGCTGATGCCACATTGTTCTGGGGTGGGTGGCCCTGTTGCTCTTTGTGCCTGCTCTGACTGCCCCTGTCCATGCCAGGCTGCCCATGGCGGGCATGAGGAATGTCCTGATCACCAGTGCTCTGCCCTATGTGAACAACGTGCCCCACCTCGGCAACATCATTGGCTGTGTCCTGAGTGCCGACACCTTTGCCAGGTGAGACCTGGCTGTGGGAAAGCTCCCTGGGGCTGGGGGATCATCATGGAGGGCTGTACTGCCCCCAACACCTGCACGGGTGTCACAGGCCCCTGCCTGCAGGTACTGCCGCCTGCGGAACTGGAACACGCTGTACATCTGTGGCACGGATGAGTATGGCACAGCCACTGAGACAAAGGCTATGGAAGAGGGGCTGACGCCCCAGGAGATCTGCAACAAGTACAACGCCATCCATGCTGACATCTACCGCTGGTTCAACATCTCCTTCGACTACTTTGGCCGCACCACCACGCCATACCAGACCACGTGAGTGGCTGCATCCCCCAGGGGCTCAAGTGGTGCTGGGGAATGTTGGGAAGAATGCCGGCATGCCTGGCTGAGGGTTCTCTATAGCTTTCCTGCATTCCCTGGCTGATAGGGGCTGCCCCCCTCCTCTTCCTATGCTAGAATTGCCCAGGACATCTTCCAGCGCCTGCTGGCCCGTGGCTTCCTGCTGCAAGACACTGTGGAGCAGCTGCAATGTGAGGACTGCCAGCGGTTCCTGGCCGACCGCTTTGTGGAGGGCACCTGCCCCTTCTGCAGCTATGAGGAGGCCCGGGGGGACCAATGTGATAAATGTGGCAAACTCATCAATGCTGTGGAGCTGAAGGTGGAACAGGATCCCTTGGGTTGCCCCCTGTCCTGCCCAGCTCTGACTGGGACTCCCAGCCTTGTCCTGGGCTCCCTCCAACCTGTGTTTTTCCTCCTGACAGAATCCGCAGTGCAAGCTCTGCAGGGGCGTCCCTGTGATAAAATCCACCCAGCACCTCTTCCTGGATCTACCTAAGGTGAGCTTCATCCCTGGAGGAGTGGGGAGGGGATGGGACACCCCAGGGGGTGTGGTACCAGGGTACCACTGACCATCCCCATGTCTTTCCCCACAGCTGGAGGAGAAGCTGGAGCCCTGGCTGGAGCAGTCCTGGGCCACGGGGGACTGGACAGCCAATGCTCGCTACATCACTCGCTCCTGGATCCGGGATGGGCTTAAGCCCCGCTGCATCACCCGCGACCTGAAGTGGGGCACGCCTGTGCCCCTTGATGGCTTCCACGAAAAGGTGGGTCCAACCTGGCCCCTCCGTTGCAGTGTCTGTTCCCAGGTGCCCTGCCAGGGGGTCCCCTGCCCATGTATCGCTCTTCCCCCCCAGGTTTTTTATGTGTGGTTTGATGCTCCCATTGGCTACTTGTCCATTACAGCCAACTACACTGACCAGTGGGAGAGGTGGTGGAAGAACCCACAGCAGGTAAGAGCCTGGTGCTGCTGCAGGGTGGAAGTAAGGGACAGAGCTGGATTCCAGGGTCCACTGATGTCCCCCCCTGCCTCCCCCCACTACTTATCAGGTTGAGCTCTACAACTTCATGGCCAAGGACAATGTCCCATTCCACAGTGTCATATTCCCCTGCTCGCTTCTGGGTGCTGATGACAACTACACCCTGGTGAACCACCTCATTGCTACAGGTACTGGGGAGCCACCAGGAATCAGGGCGTCTTCCACACTTACCTGCTTTCTTTCAGTACTGGGAACAGTCCAGTCTGCCTCTCACAGGCACAAAACTGCATCTGTCCTCCCTGACTTGGAAGCCCCTCTGAGCTCAGCATGAGCCTATGAGCACTTTGACAGTGTCTCCCTGTGTTGTGGGGCTGTTCCTGCCTGGGAGAGGGCTGGATCCATGCATGGGCTCTGTGATGGGGTCTCTTCTGCCCTCCCCAGAGTACCTGAACTATGAGGATGGGAAGTTTTCCAAGAGCCGGGGTGTGGGAGTGTTTGGGGACATGGCCAAGGACACAGGCATCCCTGCGGATATCTGGCGCTTCTACCTGCTGTACCTGCGGCCTGAAGGTCAGGACAGTGCCTTCTCCTGGAGTGACCTCATGCTCAAGAACAACTCGGAGCTGCTGAACAACCTGGGCAACTTCATCAACAGGTTCTGGGACACCCTGGTGGTGGCAAGGGCCATCTCTGTCCCCAGGCTGTGCTCATGCCTGCTTTGCCTCTGTCCCTAGAGCTGGCATGTTCGTGTGCAAGTTCTTCGGTGGCACTGTCCCCAACATGGTCCTGACACCAGATGACAGGCGGCTCTTGGCCCGTGTCACCCTGGAACTGCGCCAGTACCACCAGCTGCTGGAGAAAGTCCGGTGGGTAGCTGAAATGTCGGGGCTGGAGCAGGGCTGAATTGTCATGAGTGGGAGGGCAGAGACCTGACCTACAGCAGGCACTCATCCCCCCCACCCTGCCTCCAGCATCCGTGATGCCCTCAGATGTATCCTTAGCATCTCCCGCCATGGCAATCAGTACATCCAGGTGAACGAGCCCTGGAAGCGGATCAAGGGGGATGAAAAGGACAGGTAGGGAGAGACGGGGGGAGTAGGGTGTGGGGCTGGGGGCTGACACTGATGGAGAGTTTCTTGCCCCACAGGCAGCATGCGGGCACAGTGACTGGTGTGGCTGTGAACATGGCTTCTATATTGGCTGTCCTGATACAGCCCTACATTTTCAGGCGCCGGCTGGCCACCCCGCCGGACTGCTTCGTCCTGAGCCACGAATTCACTTGCACCCTGCCCCCAGGGCATCGTGTGGGCACCGTAGGTGGTGGGGGGTGGGGAAAGGCAGGCTGTGCCCCTCTGGGCAGTGCATGGGTGGGATCAGGGGTTGCTGGGCCTCCAGGGATGACCCCTCTTCTTCCTGGCTCCAGGTGAGCCCCCTTTTCCAGAAGCTGGAGAATGACCAGATTGAAGCTCTGCGCAAGCGCTTTGGGGGAGGGCAGGTGAGTGGGGGCTGTGGTGCCCCTACAGCTCTTCCACCTTGGCCCCTCCTAGCTCCTCTACCTCTGCTTTCCATCCCTATTCACTTGTGGTCTCGCCTTTCCCAGCCTGAAAGATCTTGCTGTAGACCCCCAGGTGACTCCCTGACATTATCTCAGAGGTGCTGCAGCAATCTGCCCCTCTCCAGCATGACAGGGGCTGGGACCAGGGCTGACACTGATTTCTGTCCTTCCACAGGCCAAGCAGACCTCTCCAGTCCCAGTGGCCCTCATGGCTCCAGGTGACCCCCAACGGATGCAGGAGCTGACAGAGGAGGTGGCCAAACAGGTGAGGGAGGGAGGCGGACTGGCCCTGTCTTGCCCTTATCTCCCCAAGCCTTTATCACCTTTATCACCCCCCCACCCCCCACCTGCCCCAGGGTAACCATGTGCAGCAGCTGAAGGCCAGCAAGGCAGAAAAGGCCCAGGTTGACATGGAGGTGACCAAGCTGCTGGAGCTGAAGAAGCAGCTGGCATTAGCTGAGGGTGGAAGCCCTGAAGTCCCTGTGCTTAAGGGGAAGCGCAAGTAGCACCTGGCTCTTCTGTGCTGGGGAGCAGGCCCAGTGCTACCCAGAGACCAGACTGGACTGTGCTGGTGGTTATATGCATGTAATAAAATGCAAAAGCTATACAATCCCATATGAAAGCAGCACCCTCCCCACAGCATCAGTCTGTGCCAGCAGGGCAGTGCCACCCCAGTTCATGGCTGCCCCCCAGGTCCACAGGGGCAGTGTTGGTGCCTAAGCCTGGTGGAGGTTCACAATGTGGTCTATGAGGGCTGCCCGTGTGCGTTCCACCTCTGCGCTGAGCCGCTGGATCTCTTCCCGGAGCTGCTCATTGTGAGCCGTCAGCTCCAGCACCTGCTGCTCACTGGCCCACTCCCGGCGCTTAGCCAGCTCCCTGCTTGCTGCTGGGCCACCGTATCTCTTCCTCTTCACACCATGCCCTGCAGCTGCTGCTGCCTCATCCTCCTCTGTGCCCAGCCGAGGTGGGGAGCTCCTGCTAGAGGCTGAGGCTGGCAGTCCTGCTGGCTCTGTGCCCACTGTGCTCTCTGGCCCCAGCAGCTCCAGCAGCTCAACAGCCAGGGCAGCATCCAGCTCGCAGTCCTCTGGACCACTGCCATCTCCCTCTCTGCCCCACAACGGAGCCAGTTCTGCCTGCAGGGAGAGGGAGGAGCCAGCCCCAGGTGACCCTGTCCCCACCCCTGCCAGGAGTGTTCTGGCCTCTCACCTGCTCAACTCCCCAGGGTGGGGAAGGCTCACAGGGCTCTTCTGCTGCTGCCAGCACCTCCTGCAGGTCCTGGTACCAGGCTTCCAGCTCCCAACCGGGCAGGGCCCCAGTGGGCCCCCCGGCAGGCAGCCCCTCAGCTGCCATCTTCACCTCCGGGTCAGTGCAGGGCTATGGGGGACGGTGAGAAGAGGGAAGTGAATCAGGTCGGCACCCTCAGCTCCGGGTTGCTCCCTGCGAGGGGCCGGTCCCCCCACCCTACCTTCTCTCAGGTGTGGTGGTCGATGAGGACGCACTTTCTCCTGTATGCCTGAGGAGGGAGAGGGACACGGTCAGACTTTGCCCCC